ATATATATATATATATATATATATTAAAAGAGTTGTCCTTAATTTCTCTTTTACTTTTTTTTTTCTCAACAGAAAAGTGAAGCTAAGCTGGAAGAGGTTTTGAAAGAAATAAAATCTCTCGTCAGCAGTCTCAGCAGTCAGGAAAAAAGAATTGCCAAACTTGAGGAGCAGCTGTCTAAAATGGACGTCTTGATCCCTTCCAGAGAGCTGGTCAGCAGTCAGGAAAAAAGAATTGCCAAACTTGAGGAGCAGCTGTCTAAAATGGACGTCTAATGGACCCTGATCCCTTCCCCTTCTTCTATTCAGGATATCCCATTGGCCAGGTGGGCGGGACCCGTCACTGCCAATCACCATGACAGCGTTCCGTCTGAAGCCTGCCTTGAAAAGACTCCAACCAACATTCCAAGATCTTTTTTTTTTCTTTTTTTGCAATCCCCAAAACCTGTTTATACCTCATAGCCATTTGGAAAACTAGAAACGCCTTCAATTTCTCTCAAAATTTGACCTGTTTAGCTTTTTACTCAGTCTCACTCCAAATCTTTCTGCAACGGCTGTGTTTTAACTGGTGTTCTTGAAAGGTCTTAAGTTTTTTGTTTTGTTTTTCTTATTAAAATTGTGACCAAGCAGATTGCATCATGAAACCGTTACATGAACTTGATGAGCTCAAAGTTTGAAGTAGCCATCAGTATTGCAGTTCCCCTCTCACCCTTCTGAGTTGCCAAATTTAATGAGAAGTTATGCACCTCCCTGACAGTGTTTGACTAGCTTTTCATTTTGGACTTTGTATAAGGGACAAAGCTATATGCTAGTAATGCAAGGAGGGGAAATCATTGGAACCATTCGTCAATGTTATAGGTGTCTTTCTAGAGAATAAAAAAAATAAAGATTTTAATCAAACATGTAGAGTTGACAAATTTACAAACCAGTACTGGAAAACAATATAGGTGCACTAAAATATTCCACTTTTTTTTTAATCAGGTACCAATGTAAAAGTATTAAAATGTTAATTAGTTTAATAATCAAAATAATTGTGGTTCTGATGGTTGCCATGAATACAGCCAATGTGTACTCTACTCACAACTCCAAACAATTTCTTGATGGCAAACATTGCTCGTCATCATAATGGTAATACAAGCAAATTGAGTCCGCTTTTCTAGTTTCCACATATCTGAACTTTTCTTCATTCATGTTCTGTTTCCTGAATGAAGCCAGAACCAGTACGGCTCTCACTTTGTAAACTCTAGAAGGTCTCCGCTTCTAGTTTCACATCCCAAAACATGATGATATAAGCTCAGAACAAGATAACGCCCATAGACCTTCATTAGCTTCAGCAGCAAAACTCTGTTGCGTCGTTTGTTGCTTCACCAGCTCGATAGCTTTTACTCTGACTTTGTTCAGACATCGTTCAGCTTTCAAGTGTTTGCTTTCGCATTAATTCCTACAAATCTCATCTTGAGTTGTGCCGGCCACACCATCTCAGAAACGAGCTTGTTTGATGTACATACTTTTGCTGTGAATTGTAGACTGTGACCACCAGCACAATAGTGAGTCATGATTGGCTTCCTTTTCCTAATAAGTTCTTTTGCGACGCTCTCCTAGTCAAGCAAGAACCAGTTCTCTCCAGGGATGGCTCAGGTCTAGATGATGATTTCACGAAGGTATTATGTGTGCCACAAGTTTGAGCTGATGACAACTGGCTTTTTTTGTTTGCTTATCTATTGGCCATGTCAGGAAGAGAGGAAACTGTGATTCTGTTGTTCAGATTGCTTTGGCTACATCCTTCGTCAGAGCCTTCTCTTGTGGTTTTCGTTTTGACGCTTCTGCATATCTCGTTTCGGTTCGCCTCTTTCATAGATTCTGAAAAGCATCTTCCCTCCTCCACAAGCTTTTTCGTCTAAAATAGCCAGCGTCTTCTCACCTCAGAAACATTACAGCGAGGCTTCAGATCTGTGTCTGACAGCGACAACTCAGTACCTCTGATGTCAATCTTTTCTTGGTGAAGTTTTAAAGTGAAGGGTTTGAAAATGTAGGGGCCGTGTTAATGGGTACAGATGTGCCAAGATGTGCGATGGATCCATTTTGAGTGTTTAAGTGGCCTCAGGAGGCATCTGTGATGCAGCCTCGAGCGTGTGGTTTCAAAGGAGTGAATGATTGAAGTGAAAAGGGATTTTTGTAGGTTGAAAAGAGAATGCAGAAAGAAGTGGATGTAAGTGATTTATTTGGATGCTTTGTAAATATATATATTTTTTTAGTTTTCCTTTACATTTTTTTTTTCTTTGGCTGTAGGAAGGTGTTTGTCCATCATTTGGAGTTTGATGGTTTTAAAGAATTCCCTATTTTCCCACATTATCATGCACACTGTGAGCCTTTAATGTTCCAGTGATAAAATGAAATTAGAATCGAAAGGAAGGAGATCTAGAAATTCCATTTTGTGCACAACTGTTCAATTTTTGTTCATTCATCTGCTTCAAGTATAAAGAGTCTTACTGATTACCAGAAAAATAAACTGAATCATTGGCCTTTGTCTCTCTCTCTTTTTCCTCTCTAATTATTAAACCTCTTTTTGTGGAAGCATTGTTGGTTACAAGTTCTAACTTAGTGTTTTAGGGAACTAAGATGTGATATTTAAGTCTCTCTCTTGCTCGTTTGTGTTTGCGTCACACTTTGAGAGCCTCCGCTTTAGCCTGACGCTTCATGAGGTTTGACTTCCTGTAGGTTTTGCGACATTGCATTGTGAGTGTGTGAGGGGGCCTAACGTTCCATTGAACTCCAGATCAACACCCAGTCAACGGTAGAAACGGATGGTACGTACTTTTATCTTCCATTTGAATTCTGCCTTAACAAATTTAGTCTAAAATCAGATGTTGGGTTAATACGGCGTGGTGATTTTTGAAATCCATCAACTGTGGCGTGTACGTGACTAAATATCTGCGAGTAAACTGTTAAAGGTTTCATGAAGTGCGATCATAACCGTAACCGTAATATATTTTAAATCGAGTACTTGAGTGTGGATAACTATAAAACAACGACTCTTTGTCAGCTGAAAGGAAGTATTGGTGTAACCACATGCTATAGTCATAAACTTAACCTTGTTAAAGTACGAGCAAACCGTTTGTATGCAGCAATCAGGTGTTTTGTTCTTCCATTGTTGCTAGACCTCAGTTTGCTCTCAGTTCTCACTGTCTGAAAGTTCCTCTCCGCTCAATATACTAGGGAGGAATAACAGCATATGAATGTGAAAATAAAGTTTGGTGATGTTTTGTGCGTCTAAAACACTATTGCCACATTCTCTGTCATTTTTGTGCAGATGGCGATGGTGACTAACCGACTTGGGTGTTTACCAGTTCTTGTTTTGCTGCTGACTTTGAGCAGTTTGGTCACGTCAAGATCTCTTCGGACTAAAAGGCAAATTAGTCACAACGAGACATCGATAAACCCCAACGACACACACAGTACAGCAACCGTAGCTCAAGCCGAGAATGCAACAAGCACCACTGTGGAAACTTTGAAGGCTTCGAGTACGTTACAGACAGCAACTGGAATACCTGATTTCAATACCTCAGCAACTACAGACTACCACCATGCTCCAGATTTGAACCACACCCAACAAAGCTACGCTGCAGGAACCGAGAACCTGACAGTCCACCGGTCAACAAATAACGAGAGTGCTTTTCACACCCAACTTCCCACAATAAATAACAGTACTGGACACATTTCACATGCAGGAAGTTCTGCCCCCACATTTCCTGCGTCGCTGGAGCCCGGTAAGGTAACAGAGAAGCACACGACAGCAACGGCGACGACAAGAATATCCACAGATGCAAAAAAAATTACCACTCAAGTTACTTCAACCATCTCTAAGAAATCAACCACAACAACGACCCACTCATGTTCCACTGCCTCTTCTCAAGGGGACGGACTTGTGAGTCGTTGCCTCATCGCCATTGCCTCGATGGCTGCGTTGACCACCATCTTTATCATTAGCACCATCTGCCTGGCTACCAAACTCTCGGGATACAGGCATAAGGCGCATCTTCTCCAGGAAACTGAGATGGTCTGCATTTCTGCCATGATGAACGATACTGATCACCCGGTTCCAAAGCCAAGAAGACATCCCAAAAGTAACGGAGCGTTGATCCCCAATACTGAGGATGGAGATCCTGACGAAGATAATCTCACTCTAAACAGCTTTCTTCCCGATACCGAGGGCCCTCTTTAGAAGTTTAGACCTGTATGCACTGAGAAACAGGATGCAGCATGGGATTTTTTGCTCTCAAGCATTAAGTCCGTGCTCAGGTTTGACCCAAACCCAGCTCTGGAATGGTTTGCACTGTCCTCAGTTTGTCTGTGGTACAGGTTTATCAGTTTTCTCACTCAATGAAGTTCTAGCAATAATCTGATGCCTGGCTTTTAAAACGACCATTTTATGATTTGCTGTACAATAATCCACATCTTTTATTTAATCCGTGGAACATTTCATTGTTTTTGTAAGTGTAAAGAGGTTTGAATGTTATATTGAATCATTTCTTTGAGATATTGAACTACTATGTTCTCTGAGAAGCTCAGGCGTTAGTAGGGCTTGGCAGAATGTATTGCTGAATATAGTCTATATCTGTCTGTGGTTCAGCTAGTGCTATATAATTTACTCGAACAGAGTGATTATCACAGTCTGAATATAACATGTTATCATTGCAAATGTACATAAAATACATGCTTTGACATTTACCCAGAAATAATTGAGCTTTTGCACAGAAATGACACACTTTGTGGGAATTTAAAAAAATGGCCAAAGCCAACTAGATTAACACTGCGAAAACCAATAGATAGTCAGCAAAATATTGTTTTCAGTTCACATTTAGTTTGTTTATTTGTACTGTAGTGTTTTTGTAGTTTTTTTTTTCTTTTCATTTTCTGCTATATTATAGGCCATTTTCTATGTAAATTCTACATGTGTTGGCAACTTCAGTATGAATGTGTTCAAGTGGATGAATGTTGTGCAAAATGACATGGAAAAAGTCATTGTGCAGTGATAACCCAGTTATTGTTACCCATAAATGTTAAATAAATCATTTAATTGAAGTGACTTGGACCTCTTACATTTTAAAGTCAATGTGAATTGCTGTATGCAACCCATTTTTATGTTTAAATTATACGAGATTCAACTAAAGATTTTTAAAAACTTGCTGAAATGACTTGAAATGGGTTGCTGGATTGTCCTTGTCCCATGCTTCCATCAGTGTTCTTCTAGAGGAGAGAAAGAGAAGGACAGAAAAAGGGAGGAGATGGAGCAAGAGGGGAGGGAAATGTCCTTGTGCAATTATCCAGATTTTTTAGGGAAAACCCACACAGTCAGAAGCTTCCATTAGCCTTTCAGGACAACGCACAGGCAGCTTTTTTTCTTTCAAAACTCTCTTTTTTTTAATTTTGCATACCTGTAGCTTGAAGTGTTGGTGTCAGTGCATGAGAGACGGGAAGTAACACCAGCAGTGAGTATTTTTAGGTTTCCTTCATTGAGAGAGTATATTTGATGTTTTGCTTTCACATGTTATAAATCATTTGTTAGCACACTTTAAATAGATGTCAGCTCTCATTTCAAATGAATTTTTATATCAGAGTCACTCAATAATGCTTGATAAAATTCTGATGAGTTTCATGTTTTTCTGATGTAGTGGCCTCAAAAGGTATTTAGGAATAAATGCAAAACATCAAATACCAGTATCTGCAAACAAATGTTGCCAGATCTTTCATTAGAACCACCTCTGCTTTTCTATATGATTTTATTAACCCACTGATCTTTAACCAACTTATCACATGAAATATATGTACTATCTATTTAAAAAAAAACGTTGGGCTTATATTGATATTTTGTGATATGCATTTTAAACGTGAAGCGAGTGTTCACTTTTGTGTCCATTGTTTACGCTTTACATAAAGTAAAGTTTCTTATATTGTCTAATGCTGTGGTATGGCAAAGGCCAAACTGTTTTTTTTAAAATATATATATATATAATTTTTATTTTGATGCAATCTACGCAAAGGATACATATTTTTGCATTTCTTATTTTATTGTAAAAATATGTATCCTTATTTTATTTCTGTGGTCTGCACAGAGGATACCACATATTCTAATTGGATTCATTTGGCAGATGCTTCCTGCGTTTGCTCTCTTATTCTAAGGAACATTCATGCAACACGTTGCTGAGATTATTACCTCATTTTTTTCACTAATACAAAACTTTACAAGTGATTGAGTGCAACGCCGCCTGATTAGCAGAACAGAGAATGTGGTCAGAGCTGAGGGGGAAATGTTTTATAAAAATAGGTTTTAAAGAAGTAAAGGCATTTGTAGAGATTACTGTATTAGATAGTAGTCAATATGTGGTTTACACTGTAAATTCTGATAGTGTTCATTTGGGGATTTCCCGTCAAACCTAACCTGCTACTGGTTAAAGTAGCTTAATATCCATCCTATACTCTTTAATAAATATAAAAATGGTTTACTTCTAGCGTGAACAATTTATAAATTAGTCTACCCATAATGCAGAGTCTTGACGATTTGTAAAGCATATGAATCTGATGTGCGTGTTCTTGAGCAGTGCAGTGCATAGTCTCGCTGGTCTGTGGCCTGTCTCATTGCAGCTGGGCTGTAAATACAGGCCTGTGAGCTGCGGCTCTCCCACGCCTTGCTGCACCCTCACAAATATATATCTGGCCTTGCTTTTGCTTTTCTGTGGTGAGCGGGTGGCATCAGCCAGGCAGGGAAATTACAAACCAGGCCTGGACTCCCTCTGCCTCCACCCCAAATAAGTAATGACTGGATGTAACAGGAATAGCTTCTCTCCTGCGAGGAAACCGAAACATGAAAATATGCTCTTATGTAGAGAGTCTACAGCGATGTGTGTGTGATACAAGCATCTTCCTTCCTGTGATTCACACAGAAAATCGATAGTACCGATAAAACAGATAGTAGCTAGTTAGTAGGTAGACACTTAACTAATTACTATCATTGAAAGTGGAAAAATGTTCATTATATTGCAGTCTACATAAAATGATGCAAAGACTTCTATGACTCTTGCAATACAATACAAATTCATTCATCACCAAATTAGCTCAAAAAAAAAAAAAAAAAAACATTGCACGGAGTTGTAAACAAATAATAATGCCTTGGTATGTTTATATTAGTACTCCAAGGTACTTCAAAAAATACCATGGTGCATATAATAAAAAAAAAATGCCTTAGTACTTTCTGGAAACCAATTTTGATTTTATTTTAGTGCCATTCTGTTTGTGACAAATTTTGATTTTATTTATTTATTTATAATTTATTTTTACTTTTATTGGTCAAAAAAGAAAAAAAAATATTATTTTAACAAATGTTTTTACAAAAATACAACTTCTTGGTAACAAGTTACAATAAATTTCCATTTGTTAACATTAGTTTAACTACATTAGTTAACATGAAGTAACGAAAAATGCTTCTAAAGCATTTTGTAATCTTAGTTAATGTTAATTTCAGCATTTACTTCTGCAATATTAAAATCAAAAGTTGTATCTCTTAATATTATTTGATGGACCTGAGCTAAGATGAACTAACAACAAACAGTTGAACAAATGCTATTGCTCATTGTTAGTTGATGCATTAACTAATGTTACCTAACGGGACCTTATTGTAAAGTGGGTTACACTTTATTACCATGTAATTATACATTTAAGTACTGAGTAATATTTATGGTTAGGATTTGGGTTCGTCTTAGGGTTACTTGCATGTAATTATGCATAATTCATTGTTATTATAATAGTAAGTTCGTGTAATATGTGTAACAAGGACACCTTAAAATAAAGTGTTACCGTAACATGTTATGATCTTCCAAATATGTATTAAAAAACTGCTGTAGCCACCTTCATGAAACAAAATGCTGACTTCCTGTTTCTGCTGGGAATGACAAGTAACGGCCACGTCTGTGTCCATTTTCTTTCAGGTTTTTAGAGGAAGTATGTCACTCTCTCTGCGCTTTGTTTGCCTGCTCCTGACTGCTCTCTGGGGCAGCAGTTGCTTCGCCAAGCCCGCCCCATTCAACGTGTCAATGGAGGGCAGCGGGGATGAACCCGAACTCATCTTTCCCAATGCTCGTACCACCCATGCTCCTCCATCCCCCTCGCCTCCTCCCAACATAACAGCCACTTTCATCCGCATCAAAGACTTCCTTTTCAACCAGGCAGTGGACTTCCTGAAGGAGAACTTGCTTCTCATCATTGTCGTGACCTCTCTTTTGGTAGTCATCATCTTCATCGTCTGCTGCGCTTCAGCGATGAGCCACAAACGCAAGCTTGAGGCCTACTATCCTCCAAAGACCTACACACCCAGGAAATACATGAGCCAACCTAGTAAAGCTATGGAGAAACCACATAACCAGATTCAGGAAGGTAAGACTACAACCGCAAAGACCCTACGGGAACCCACTAAAGCACTGGTGGGTGAGAAGGAAGGAAAAGACCCCCAGCCCAAGCCGAAAGAGGTCCAAAAGTTGGAGGATGTTGAAGAGGTGGAGATGCAGAAAGATGAGCCCAAGAAGAAAGAGGAGCCTCAGCCTCAGCCTACCACCTCAAATGTCACCTCCAGTCAGCCGCTAGTCTGTACGTGCCACCTCAGAAAGGCCAATCACACCACAGCGTGAGAGCTTTTTCTGAAACGGGCAGGAATGACCTTGATCCCAAACTTTTTCTACTGGTAGATATGATGCCCACACTCTTACTCTTTGTGTTCTTGTTGCTTTGCAACTTGTGTATGTGCCATCAGAGGAAGAGTGGAAAAAAACGTTTTATCAACTCATTTTGTGTTTCTTTAAAAATTTGTTTGCTAAATAAGAAAAAAAAACAGAGTTGACATTTTTATTATTCATGTGGAAAATAAACAACACTTGAAACTATTTTGTGAATCACTTTCTACTTTTGAGAGACTTAAAGGGTTGGTTCACCCCAAAATTAAAATTCTGTCATTAATTACTCACCCTCGTGTTGTTCCAAACCCGTAAGACCTTCGTTCATCTTCGGAACACGATTTAAGATATTTTTGATGAAATCTGAGGGCTCTCTGACCCTCCCATAGACAGCAAGGCAACTACCACGTTCAAGATCCAGAAAAGTACCAAGATGATCGACAAAGTAGTCCGTGTGACATCAGTGGTTCAACTGTAAAGTTACGAAACTACGAGAATACTTTTTTGTTCAAAGAAAACACTACTTTGTCATCTTGGTACTTTTCTGGACCTTGAACGTGGTAGTTACCTTGCTGTCTATGGGAGGGTCAGAGAGCCCTCATATTTCATCAAAAATATCTTAAATTGTGTTCCGAAGATGAACGAAGGTCTTACGGGTTTGGAACAACACGAGGGTGAGTAATTAATGACAGTATTTTCATTTTTGTGTGAACTAACCCTTTAAGAAAACATCTTTTGAAACTTTTTCTGACCGCTTTCCTTTTAGT